TGAGGAACCTCCATACTGTTTTCCAGAGTGGCTGCACCAGCTTGCATTCCCATCAGCAGTGCAAAAGAGATCCTCTCTCTCCACATCCTCGCCAACATCTGTGGTTGCCTGAATTGTTAATGTGAGCCTTTCTGACAGGTGTGAGGTGGTATCTCATTGTGGTTTTGATTTGTATTTCCCTGATGATGAGTGATGTTGAGCATCTTTTCATGTGTCGGTTGGCCATCTGGATGTCTTCTTTGGAGAAGTGTCTGTTCACGTCTTTTGCCCATTTCTTCACTGGATTCTTTGTGTTTTTGGTGTTGAGTTTGATAAGCTCTTTAGAGATTTTGGATACCAACCCTTTATCTGATATGTCGTTTGCAACTATCTTCTCCCATTCCGTCGGTTGCCTTTTAGTTTTGCTGATGATTTCCTTCACTGTGCAGTAGCTTTTTATTTAGACGAGGTCCCAATAGTTCATTTTTGCTTTGGTTTCCCTTGCCTCTGGAGATGTGTTGAGTGAGAAGCTGCTGCAGCCGAGGTCAAAGAGGTTTTTGCCTGCTTCCTCCTCGAGGATTTTGATGGCTTCCCGTCTTACGTTAGGGCTTTCATCCGTTTTGAGTTTATTCTTGTGTGTGGTCTAAGAAAGTGGTCCAGGTTCATTTTTCTGCATGTCGCTGTCCAGTCTTCCCAGCACCACTTGCTGAAGAGACTGTCTTTATTCCATTGGATATTCTTTCCTGTTTTGTCAAAGATCAGTTGGCCATACGTTTGTGGGTCCATTTCTGGTTTCTTTATTCTGTTCCATTGATCTGAGTGTCTGTTTTTGTGCCAGGATGTGGAGATTATTTAAAAAATAAAATCTTAAGGGGCACCTGGGTGGCTCAGCCAGTTTAGCATCCAACTTAGGCTCAGGTCATGATCTCACGGTTCATGGGTTCAAGCCCCGTGTCCAGCTCTGCACTGACAGCTCAGAGCCTGAAGCCTGCTTGGGATTCTGTGTCTCCCACTCTCTCTGCCCCTCCCCCACTCACACTCTGTGTCTCTGTCTCTCTCCCTCTCAAAAAAAAAAAAAACATAAAAAATTTTAAGCAAATAAAATAAAAAAATAAAATCTTAAAACTACATTTCCTCTTAATACATAAAGGTCCTCTGATATTCCTTTATTCTACAGTTTCTGTGATCCTATTTCATTTTTAAAGGCTATTTGAGACTCTCTAAGTTAGAAAAAGACAGATACGGCATGACCTCCCTTATATGTGGAATCTAAAAGAGGGGAGCTCATAGAAATGGTGGCTGCTGGGGGCTGGGGGTGCAAAAGCAGGGACAGGCTGGTCAAAGGAACAAGCTTTCAGTTGGAGGACGCGTGAGTTCAGGGACCTAATGAACAGTGTGGTGACTGTGGTTAATAATACCGTAGGGTGCACTTGCCATTTGCTGAGAGAACAGATCTTAAGTGCTCTTACCACACGCACGCACGCACACACGCACACACACACAGATGACTATGTGGGGTGAAGGTGTGTTAATCAGCTTGATCGTAGCGTTCCTTTCGCAATACATGTGTATATCAAGCCATCGTGTTGTACAACCTAAGAACCATACAATTTTCCCTTGTCAATTATTCCTCAGGAAAGCCGAGCAGAAAAACTCCAGAGCTCTGGGCTAACTTCACGATTTATCCATGGGTTGCCCAACCTGCCGTCTGAAAAGGCCCCCCAGATGGGTCTTCTGATAACTGGCCTGTTTCCTCCAGCGGCAAGGGCAGGCCTACCTTCTGCCCCTCTTCCACCCACCCCTGCCCTACTCCTGCTCCCTGGGCTACACGCTCTCACAAAATAGCACCCAGGTCTGAGCCACAAGCCCTGTTTTCTGGGCACCCAGATAAGACGGGCCTCTGGCACAAAATTCACCCAAGGCCTCTCCCTGATCCCGGCTGCTGCTCCCGTGAGGAGGTGAGGGCCTCAGTCTCCCCCGTCCCGCACTCCTGTGCCACCTGCCCTCCTGAACCCTGGGTGGCGACTGTCCCAGAATGCTCCTTTCATGCTGTTCATCAAGCCACCTCCGGCTTCCCCCAGCCACAGAGACCAGAGCAAAGATGTCTTTTTTGGGAGGCAGCTTCTTTGAGGTCCCTTGCAGAACAGCGTCGCTCCCGGCTATCACAGAGACGCCTGAGCTACAGATAAAGCCTTTCTCTTCCCAGACTTCATAACCTGTCATCTCTTGGGGCAGCTCTTTGGCAGTGTTGTTCTGGAAGAAGCAGATGCGGCCGGTGCTACCCCCGGCCCGAGCGCCCCGTGGCAGCTTGCTCATTTGGCATCACATGAGAATGACCTCCATCCCTCCCCCTACACCCTGTGGGGTCGGGGTGGGGGGGGGACTCGAGAGCACCTCCCCCCCCCCCCCCCCCCCGCCAGGGGATGCCCTATTGAGAACAGAGAGGAACAGGAGGAGAGACTATGGCAAGCGGTCACCGTACCTGGAGCTGCCTCGTTGCCAGGAGGGCACAGAGAAAAGAGGAGAGAGAACAGGTCAGTGAGCAGTGAGCACATGACCTCCCGTACAGGTACCGCTTCCCCGGGGACCCAGCCGGAAGATGGGGCTCTAATCCTTAGCCTCTCCTGCCTTCTGCACTCCTGCCTCCCACCCCGCAGCGCCCCCAAGTCAAGCCTAAGCCCCCTTGCCGGGCTCACAGTGTTTATGGATCTGTTCCTAGGGAGGGTGGCGGGTCAAGCACAGTCCTTGATAAAGGACATCTGAGAGCGTTGCACAGCAGGGGCCGAGGGGGGCAGGTTAGCAGCCCCCAGGCTGGGTATTTTCAGTGGCAATTAGGGACCTCTCTTTTCTGACCCATCAGTGGGGGACAGTTCTACATCCAGAGCTGGGGGGTGGGAGTTCTGGAGGGGGGGGGGCGTTCTCACCTTCCAGATACTCGCCTCCTTGCCATACACCACAGCCATGTTGCTGGCCTTGCCGCCTCTGATGAGCTGCTTCTCCGTCTCGTTGAGCTCCTCGGACACGAAGCCCATGAAGGAGTTGTCCGGGGTGTGAGCTGCGGCCAGACCACGGGGTCAGGAAGGGGCTTGCCACACAGCCACGGACGCGCCCCGGGTCCACCTGCACTGGCCCCATCAGAGGGGGCCCCGTTAGACAGGGACGGGGACAGGGGGCTGGTGGAGGAGGGGCAGAGCACCCATCAGTGTCCTGGCCCCGGGCCTCTCCCTCCCCAGAGCGGAGCCGTGAGCAGAGGGAACCCTGGGAGGTCCCCTTGCTCATTTGCAGACAGGCACAGCCAGGACCCTGTCCTGGTCAGAGTCCTCCCTCCCAGGTTCGCTCAGGAACCGAGGCTTTGGCTCCTCCCCTTTTCTCTCATTGGCGACACCCATCAGCAGAGCCGGTACCTGGTGGGATGTCCCACACGGCCTCCATCACTGCCGCCCTGGCCTGGGTACCATTCTCTGTCCTGGGCCACTGTGACGGCTGCCTACCCCCATTTCCGCCATTCTCTTGGCCCTGCCTTTCAATTTTAGGTCCTGAGCAATCCTTTCAAATTTAGGTCAGACCAGGTCCGTCTGCACAAAACCCTGCGGTGGCCCCAACAGCCAAAGTCCCTGCAACAGTCTCCAAGGTCTGCCCCCGTGCCCCCCTTGGCAGGATCTCTCACTACCTCCTGGGACCCTGCCCGGTGCGCTCCCTCTCTCCGTGCGTGCTTTGCCTACAAGACCCTGCCGAGAGGTCCCTCCTGGCCCTGGTCACTCTCTGTCCCTTACCCTGCACTTGCTGACCCAAACATGATATTATACATCAAATGGATCGTTTATCGGTGTCAGAATGTAAGCCCCGTGAGGGCAGGGGCTCTGCTCGGCTCACCTCGCTGTCCCCGGCACCTGGGAGGGGGAGCCTGGCGCGCTGGCTCATGAGTGCATGGACACATCCTGACTTCCCCCACCTGCAAGTTTTTTGCCCCAGCCGTTTCCTCTGCCTGGAGCGCCTTCTTCCCCTAACGTGGATGAGAAAATGCTCTCCGGCCTCAGGGCCCCAGTCATATGGCACCTCCTCCTCTGGGCTCCGGTGCCCCTCTCTTTGCGGCCCCGCCCCCGTGGTTCTGCCTCTGCTACGGTACAGCCCACACTCTGACCTGCTCCCTTGTCCCCAGAACCCAGCGCACCGGGGGCAGGGAATGCACTTCAGCCTCTCTCGCTGTTCCACGGTCGTGCTACTTGGCTCTGTCTGCCTGTGCCACGGATTCGCAAGGGTCCCTCCCACCGTGTTCAGGACCTTGGACAGAACATTTGTTGAGCCCAATGACATCCACTCCGCCTTCCGGGGTGGGAGGGGCTGCGGCGAGCAGGTTGGCAGAGACCTCGCGTCCTCGATTTCCCAGAACAGCCCTGGCCCAAAGATGCCATTTCTTCATCCCGCGAGCGTGTTTTCACATTTTAGCATTTCTGACACGGAGCTGTATACTTCGATCCAATGTGTCGATTTCACGTACTATTTCTACCCACAAACCGTCACAATCAATGTCTGGAGCATCGTAGAAGGAAAGGTTTCCTGCCTAAGTGCCCCCAGAAAGCTCGTGGATTCTTGGGTCTGAAACTCCAGCTGTAAGGAAGGGCCTTTGCTGACCCCAGGACAAAATGATCTTTCTTCTAGAGCTTCCGGAGCATAAGGAGGGGCCCCGGAAGCCTGGAGTTATTTCTGTGATGGTCAGGATGCGGGCAGCTCTCCTGTTTGAGGAGGCTCCACCCAGATTGGGAAGCAGGGGGTGGGGGGGGGGGCCAGGAGGACAGACCAGACCCTCTCTGCCCAGTTTGCCCGCCCAGCCCCATCTCCCTCCCTCTGGCCCCACCTGCTTCCCCCCACAGACACCCCAGGCCTCTCTCCTGATTGCCATTTCCTCCCTACTCACCCAGCCGAAGAATCCCTCATTCTACCAACCCTGCCCAGTTAGCAAACTAGTGGGACAGGGAAGTGTCCAATCAATTAGAGTAACAGAGACCAAGAGCCAAGAGCTCGTGGGGGCAGGGGCAAGGGTGAGCCCAGAGAGGCAGCCACCCTGGAGACACCGCCTGGCTAGATGCGGAAATGAGTCTGCTCATGAATTCTGCCCTGGACCCGCAAACTCTCTCTTCCTTTTTTGTTCTGTTTCTTTAATGTATTCGCTCAATTAACATTTTCCGAGGACCTTGATAGGCTCCAGGGAGATAAATCAGTCAGTGGCCCCCCTTCTGAGTGGTTCATAATCTATCAGGGAGAGATCAGTGTATGAGCAAGTAACTCTAATATACTTCAATAAACGCTTTTGTAGAAATGGACTTAAAAGTTATAAAAACAGGGGCGCCTGGGTGGCTCAGTCAGTCAGGTGTCCGACTTTGGCTCAGGTCACGACCTCACAGTTTGAGTTCAAGCCCTGCGTCGGGCTCTGCGCTGACAGCTCGGAGCCTGGAGCCTGCTTCGGATTCTGTGTCTCCCTCTCTCTCTAATCCTCCCCTGCTCGTGCTCTGTCTCTGTCTCTCGAAAATACATAATAAAACGTAACAAATTTTTTTTAATTAATAAAATAAGTTATAAAAACAGGTGAATATATTGCACCCACATAAGATGAAAGAAATCAGTGGAAGTGATAATAAATAAAGGAGGCATTTGAGTTGGGGTTTTAGAGGATGGGTAGGAGTTCTCCAGGTTTGGAACTCCACATCCAGCGGGCCCCACCCCACATAAATCCTCCATTTTTTCAGTGTAGATTATTGCAGAAGCCTCTTAACCCATATCCTCTTTCCCCCACTCCTCTACCACTGCCCCTTACCACTATCCCCACCTCCTTTCCCTCCAGAGTCTGGTCCCCACAGAGCCATGTGGCCTCAGACCTCCGGGCCTCAGTTTCCTCCTCTGGGCTCCAAGGAACCATCCCACCTTCCCAACCTTCTGGGATCCAATCAAGCCATTCCCTATGTGCCGAGAAATTGCATCTGCCACTAATGTGTCCTAGAACCTGGAGATGAAGACAAAAAAGGACCCTAAGCGCCCCAAAGAGGTGCATTAATTTGACAGACGAAATAAATAGCGGGTACTTTACTTGTACGCAAGTTCCTGGGACCCTGCTCGGAACCTAGTTTGCTCTGAATTTAGATACAGCCTAACAAAGGTGCTTATCTGGCTTTCCAACCCAGAGCCTTCAAAGAGCCACAAATTAGCTGTGCAAGACGCTGCTGGAGGCAGCTACACTGACAACAATTAAATGTGACAGCTGATAGCTGCCCAATGAGGAGAAAAAGCACCACATCAAACAGTGACAGCAGAAGGGGCCACTTAGCAAGGGGACCCAGCTCCGCACACCTCTGCCAACCCCGAAGGGCAGGCTCGTGCGCACCAGAGCCAGAGTGAATTGACCCTTCGTTGTCAAGAAAAGATTAAATTATCTTCACCACGCTGCAGGTAAGAGGGCAGGTCAGCGTGTGTATATATTTTAGAGTCTCATTAAAAATAGCTCTAAGGCTTAGCTCTAACCGCACTCCTTGCCTGGCACCCACTGTCAGAGGGTTTCCACAGGGACCCCAGCCCCCAGGGTTACTTCCCATTATCCCCAACGCTGGAGACTACTGGAACCTTCCAGAACCTTCCAGAACCTTCCACTTCTTTCCACATCTGCCTTCATTTCATCTGGCCCCTCCACTTAGAAGAGCCTGCCTGTCCTGCCCCTTCGCCACCCCCTAGAGCTCCCCAGTATACTTTTGGCCTCTCTTTCTACAAGGTCACTGAATCCTCGTTGTTCTGGAACGTGTGCTCAGCATCTCTCTGAGAGCAGCCTGTGATTCTGGAGGCAAAGGCCACTCCCTCCGTGTTGGAAAGGTCACCACGTTTCTCCCAAGCCAGGCTGGAAGCCCCCACCCCTGTCCTTCCCTCCAGGCTGCTCCCTCCTCGCTGCCTGCTCCCCAGACACCACAAGATACTTCCTGTCTGGGTCACACATTTGCTGAAGGGGGAACAAGGCTTTCCTGGGGCAGGCAGGTGCCTGGGCCTGCCCTGCTCCCACACTGGCCCGGGGAAGGAAAGCCAGGGAGGAATAGGGGACCCTCCTCCCATGCACCCCTGAGAGCAACGAGGAGGCCCCAACTGCCCCTGACCGCCCCCCCCCACCACCACCACATCCTGTGCCCGGGACACTCACGGAACATGGTCATGAACTGCTTGGGGTTGAGGTTCCAGTAGCCCCAGTTGGTCCGGTATCCGTGCAATGTGGCGTATTCCTCATGGTTGTATGCGGGTTCTGTCCCGAAGGTGTCAATGACCCGGATTCGGCATCTGCTCCCCGCCCCGGGGGTGGGGGGGTGGGTACCAGGAACCAGGGTCAGCCACCTCCTGTGTCTCCCTGGGCTGGGTTGCCCCAGCAGGGGCACTGTAACCAGCCAGTGGCCGGGTGCTACTGCAACTGTGGTCAGAGCTTGGGCTCAGACACTACCTAGCTGTGTGACCCCAGGCAAGCGCCTTAACCTCTCTGGGTGAGCTCCACCATCGGTCAAGTGAGGATAACAAAAGCCCACCTGTCCCAGGGTTGTGTGAACCATAGACCACTCAGTCAGGAACTGTTCGTTATTTCGGCTGCCCCAAGGGAGCCTAGTGGCGGGGGGGGGGGGGGTCCATCTGTAGGATTTGCACTTTCCTGAGCAGGGAGCAGCAGTCATTCGAGTACACAGCCCCCCTGCTCAGGAGCCTGACACCCCCAGGATGCGCCTGGCCTGCCTGGGCTGCGATGCAGAGGGCAGGGCCCGGGGGGACCAGCCACTACCATTATCCCGAATATTGGAGCCTACTGGAACCTTCCAGAACCGTCCAGTTCTTTCCACATCTGGGGAAGGCAATGCCAGCTTGGCCACTCCAGGTACACCTCCCAGCCGGGCGGAGGCTCTGTCTCGGCCCCAAAACCTCCGCCTCTGTCCGTCCCACCCCTGGGCGTGGGCACCGGAAGGAAACTGCTGAGACTCAGACACCCCTCCAGGAAGCTCCCTCACCCCGCTTCCTTCCCGGTGACCCAGAATTGTCCACAAACTGCTGAGGTCGGCACTATTCCCCCAGAGGAGGGGCCGGGGGTGGGAGGCAGCGGCACCGAGCGCATGAAGAACACGCATTAATAATAAAAGCAATAACAGTGCCTGTCACTTTTTTTTCCCTAATAAAATCATGCGGGACAGTCAATGGGACTGGAGCAAATGTAATAAATAGCAGGGCTCTCGGTGCTAAATTAAACCCAGTATCCCGCTGGCTGCAGAGACGGGAGCCGGAGCGACGGCATTGGCCTTCGCCCAAACCCAGGGGAGTGGGGTGGAGGGAGGGCGGAGGAGGGGGTGCTGAGCCCCCACAAGCCGAGGTCGTGGCCCCCCTGGAGTGTGCCACTCCATCCACTCCTCCCCGTGATTCGATTCCCCTGCCCACCCCATCCAGGTCACCTCTGAGCCCCGCCCCCAGGCTGCCCTGCAGCAGAGGGGCAGTGAAGGGAGACCCCCACTCCGAGTATTAATTGAGGAAGCAGGGGGGCGGGGCAGAGCTCCTCCAAGAAAGCCAGTGGTGGGGGAGGGGAGACAGAGGCCGGGGGAGGCTTCCCCCGACCGACCGCGACCGCGTGGTCCAGGGACAAGGCAGTCCCCCCACCCTGGGGCCAGTGTCGGCACCACCCGCCGGAGCTCACTCACCTGTACTTCTTGAAGGATAATCCCATATGCTGCTTCATCTGCTGCAGGCCGTGGTAGTCAGTGTAGATGAGGTCAAAAGGCAGGGGCATGGTGAGCGGGCAGTTCCCCCGGCCTGGCGGCACCCCTAAGTTACTGAGAGAAGAGCCCCTCAGAGCCTGAGCCCCAAGAGGGGCCCACAGGCAGCAGACCCCCACCTTCCCAACCAGCCTCGAGTCTGGGGCACCTGGAGCCCCCCCCCCCAGTTCTTACAGCCCAGGATAAACATGGGGGGGGGGGCACCGTAAAGGAAAGCGAGGCTGGCACATGAGTGCTGGCAGACTTGGAAAGGAAGTGAACAGGGTGACCATGTCCAGTCGTGTAAGTTTTCCACTGCCCAAGAGACCTCAACGAGACGAAAGAGGACTGAGATCCATCCCGGGCTAGCTTGCCAGGCTGTGCCCCTCACCTGGGCTGCTTGCCACTCGGAAGGGGCACCTTTTGTTGATTTGCACAAATGTGCTCCCCGCAGGCCTGCGCCCGCCCAGAGGGGGCACCTTTATCTAGCGTTCACAAATCGCCATCAATGCCCACTATGGTCCTCAAGGTGTCTTCCGTGTTTGGAGCAGAAGGCCCTGCCTCAGAAGTTAGAATTCAGCTCTGCGGACTGGCTCCTGGCCCACAGAGATGCCCAGCCCTGCCCCCCAGGGTCACCCAGCCTGCTAGATCATTTACACAGATTTCCTCTGGTGACCCAGTGCCAGAGCCTTTGGGTCATGTCACTGGAGCCTGGAGGACACGGCCACAGCTGCCCGTGTAAAATCTTGGCATTGGGGTGCCTGGGTGGCGCAGTCGGTTAAGCGTCCGACTTCAGCCAGGTCACGATCTCGCGGTCCGTGAGTTCGAGCCCCGCGTCGGGCTCTGGGCTGATGGCTCGGAGCCTGGAGCCTGTTTCCGATTCTGTGTCTCCCTCTCTCTCTGCCCCTCCCCTGTTCATGCTCTGTCTCTCTCTGTCCCAAAAATAAATAAAAAACGTTGAAAAAAAAAATTAAAAAAAAAATCTTGGCATTGGACTTCCCTGCCCACCACGCAGGAGCCCCGGCTCAGCCTGAAAACCCACCCCCCTGCAGGACACAAGGAGGCATTTAGATCGCTCATTCAGTAAGTCTGTACTGAGCCCCTGAGCCAAGCCTGGCGTGGAAAAGCCCCCCTTTCTGTGGGGACCCCACAGCAGCCACCCACCTCCCCTGGAGTCCCACCTCCCTTGGATGCGTGGTCCAGGAGACCTCCCAGTGAGCCCCTTCAGGGATCCACATGAAGAGCAGACTCAGGCAGGGTAGGGGAGGAGCTTTGACAAGGTCACGGCTCATCGATGGCAAAAGGCCACGACTGATGAGCTCTCTGGGCACATCTCGGGCTCCTAGAGCCAATTCAAGCCAGGTGGAAAAGTACCAGCCTGGACGTCTTTGCGTTCTCTTTGCTCATGCTCTGCCGGCCACCATCAGAAGCTGGGGAGGGGGGCACTGCGTACATTGTCCCCAGCGTACGTTGTCCCCTGCACACACTGACAGAAGCTGCGCCTTTTCAATGCCGTTTATGGTAACTGATGACAAGGCCATGATGGAAAGGTGTCAGGGGAGGCTGTGTGTGACGGGGATTGGGGACATCAGGGGTCGGCTGTGCCCTGCAGAAAAGGGCAGCAGGAAGTGGGGGGAGGTCTTTCCCTGTGTCTGCTCCCCACCAGCCGGTGCACCCCAGCCTCACCCAGCTTCCCCTGCTAAGCGTCGAGAGGAGAATGCAAAAATCGAACACCCAGCGTCTGTCTCATTTCTTATCTATATACGTAACAGTGGCCGAGGGTCCCCTCCCCGACTCGACCAGCTCCCGTGTGACTCCCCTCTCCAACTGGACCACCACACCCAGGGACTCTCAAACCCAGGACTTCTAAGGCAGGGCAGCCTTTGTCAGCTTTTGCCGTTGTTGTTGAAATAACCCGGAATGAGCACAGACCGCAGGGGTCTGGAGCCATCACAGGAAACGGCTCCCACAGCCTGGAGACTTCATGAAATATTTGGTGGTATTTTTACGTAGGGAGCAGATTTTCGCCTTCTACTCCCCAGGATGTCTCTGTCATTTCCTTTCAAGCACGGGCTTTCTCTCGCCCTCTGCCCCCCCCCACCCTCCCCCCCAAAAAAACTCCTCCAGTAAAACTGATGCTCCCGAAGGAAGCATCATTTTTGTGCCGGGCTGCAGCAGATACCTAGAGAGAGACACCACCTCCCTCCCCCGATTCCCTGCACGAACCCCCTATCCCTTCCTTGCAGAAACCAGGAAGGCGGGTGGCTTCTCCTCCCGCAGGAATCGGGGCCTGGGAAAGTCAATTGACAACCCTAAAGTACAAACTGTAGGTGGGTCCGGTCGCTGCTACGGGCACCGTAAGAGGATTACTTCCCCACGTTACATTTGTGGTTGGTTTCTAGGCAAGGTGTCCCTCTGTGGCCACACGTGGTGCCAACAAAGTCACGGGGGCTTCCCTTGGTTGCCCGAACCCCGACCACAGCCGTGGCCCCTGCCCCAAACACCTCGGCCGCCGAGAGGCCAGCTGAGCCACACACAGCTCTCCCCTGGGAGAATGGCTCCGCGCTGACGTTCTAAGGCACGAGCCCTCATCATCTTTGTCCCTTGACGGGGCTGACATTTTGAACAAGGAACCATTCTGCACGGTCTCAGCTTATTAATTCATTTAAATCCTTTCATCTAGGAGATCAGACTCATTCTTCTCCTGCTCCCCTCTTTCTAGGCTAGGAAAACAGAGAGGTTTAGTAATTTAGCCAGGGTTGCACAGCCAGGAGGCTGTGAGGCTGGGATTGGGACCCAGGCAGTGGGGCTCCAGAGCCCTCCCCCTCCCCCCACTCCCACCCGCTAAGCTCTCCTGCGTCTCCAGCACGGTGGCGGATGGTCGGACCACAAAGACATCCCCGAAACCCGAGCCCCGGCTGCCAGCAGAGATTGGGCTCCAGTCCCAGTTCTGTTGCTAACCTCGGGGGAGTCATAAGCCTCTAGGAATTGCATTTTTCTCCTCGGGAAAAGACAAATAAAAATGCCTCCCTCCCAGGGTTCCTGGTAGGATCAACCGAGGCGCGGTGAGTGAGCGTTCTGCTACGTATCGTTTCTTCTTGGCAGCATCTGCCTTCTGCGCTTGTGGGTCCGGCAACTCCTTCCTGAACCACACGCAGCCCCCTCGCTCAAGGCCCGTCATTTCTCACCTCGCATCTTGAGGTCATCTCCTCTCTGCTCAGTGTCCCTCCAGTCTTGTCTCTTTCCTAGAGAGATCTTTCCACACTGTAAACCTGGTTCCAATCCCTCCCAGAAGACTTCTCGCTTCCCGGCCCTTGTGTCCCCCTCCTCCAGGAAGTCTTCCTTGGATGCCGCGCCCCTGTGCTCCCCCACCCCTTGCTTCAACCCCCGCCACTCTGCACTGTCCTGAGTCA